CCCAGTTCTTGGCACCACACTATAGGAAGGATGTTAAGGCATTGGAAAGGGTGCAGAGGAGATTTACGAGGGTGGTACCAGGAATGTGAGACCTTGATTATGAGGAAAGGCTGGAGAGGCCGGGATTATTCTCATTGGAGCAGAAGATCTAATAGAGGTCTTCAAAATCATGAGGGGATTTGAGAGGTTAGAAAGGGAAAAAGTGTTCCCACTGGTGGGTGTGTTGGTGACTCGAGGTCACCAAATAGTCTCTAAAAGAAGCAGAGAGGAGGTGAGAAGAAATTTTTTCATGCAGTGAGTTGTTCGAATCTGGAACGCATTGCTTGAAAGGGTGGTCAAGGCCGATTCGATAACAACTTTTAAAAACGCGGTGGAAGGGTATTTGAGGAGGACGGGTTTGCAGGGTTATTGGGAAAGGGCTGGGGAGTGGGATTGGCGTTGCATTGCTCTTTTCAAAGAGCCGGCATAAACCCGATGGGCCGAATGGCCTCTTTTTGTGCTGTACAATTCGATGATTCTATGACAATCGTATCCCAACATATTATCTATCTAATTTGCATTTGAATGAATTGACACTTTCTGCTTGCAGCTTCTTCCAAGGAAGCCAGTTCCTTAGATTTACCATTCACTCGCTGAAATAGTGTTTCCATAGATTGGTTTTGAATTTACCTCCACTTCAAGCACAGGTCATGTCCTCTGGTTCTACGATTCCGGACACGATGAAACGGCATGTCATGGTCTACTCTACATTATCTATTCCCTTTAGAATCTTAAAAACAGAAATCATCTCAACTTTCTATTTTCCAGTGTGAACATGCCTAGTTTACTTAACCAATCCTCTTAATGCAGTCCCTCTATCCTATCAACCGTTCTGATTGCCTTCATCTCTATCTTCTCAATACCCTTTTTGCAGATAGTGGAGTCCTGTAGCTCAGTGGTTAGAGCACTCGCTTTGCAAGCGAGAGACCTGAGTTCAATTCCAGGCACAGGGCGAAACCTTGGGCAAGTTTCCTTACTCCACACACCTAATAATAATCCCTCCAAAAAACAAAAATAATAATTAAATTGGTCATTTTCAATCTATGACTGTTTGTGGGACATTGCTGTGCGCAATTGGCTGCCGCGTTCGCCCACAAATATACAGTCAACTCACTTTACAGTATATTCTGTGAAGCGCTTTGGGATGTCCTCCCGACGTGAAAAGCGCTATATCAAATGCAAGGATTATTATTATTATTATTATATCCGCAGGCCCAGATTATCTCAAGGGCTTTAGGGGCTGCAGCCCAAGACATCACTGTTGAGCTCCCCGCCCAAGGAGCGAATCGGGAAGACATGGCAACGTGAGCCATGCACAGTCGATTTAATATTCTCACCTCCAGAGAGCTTGAAATTTCACCAGATGGTCAAAGTGCTTTTGTCTCATTTTCAGCTTCTCAAGCATGTGCTGAAACGATAGACTGGGCCAATAGAAAATTACACCAGGGCGTGCGAGGCACAGGGTGTTAGGCTGGCGGCAGCAGCAAGGGCAGGAAATGGGCTTCGCTGGTGAGTGCCCACGTTCCCATGAGGGTTCCCGCTTCGCCTCCTGTTGAGATTACCCTGGGCATGTGTCTCTCTCGCTCCTCTGTCCGTATGTGTCTGACTCTGCATGTGGGTATATGGGTGTCTGTCACTGTGTCTGTGAATGTGTCTGTCTTTTTGAGTGTCTCTGACTTTCTGCAAAAAATGTCAAACTTCACCTAAATTTTTGGCAAAAATTTCTGCAATTTTCTATCGGCCTGGCTTTAGAGATTGAAGAGTGTGTGAAGTGTGAGACAGAAAGAAAAGGCAGCAGACGAGGAGTCTGCTTTGAATTTTTCAACAAAAGAGTCTGGATTTTGTATTTCCCGATGTAGACATCGCTTTACGACATGATACATCCAACATCTGGTCTGACTGTTTTGACACTGACATTAATTAATGCTGGAGGTAGTCATTCATTTTCAACACTGATGCTAAAGAGTGACTCAGGTCAACTATGGATCAGCCAAGATTAGATAATTTGACAATAACTTCATTCAAGTGTGATTTGCTTTGCAGCTGGATTTTAATGATATTATTGAAGACCTTTCGGCCAAGAAAAGTAGGAAAAAACTGATTTAACAGCAAATCTAATGTGAAATCCTTGTTTGTTTTGACCCTTAGCATCACTAAGCGTATTAGTACTAGCAATTTGTGCTGAAATTAATATGGTTATGTTTTGTTCATTGAAGCATTGATTGAGCTTTACAATTGTTATATCACATTAAAAAAAAACGGAACTGAAATAATCAAGGTAAATTAACAATTAGTGTTTGGCTTCGCTGTGGGTGGTAAAACAGTGCAAGAAAGGAATTGAACATGGAAGAGAGGCCCCCAAACTATAATAGCCTTAGACCCCCATCAAGCTTAATCTGGCCCTGCGTGTCAATACTTGTTCAATTACATTTGTTATGATATGTAATCGTTGTTTGTTCCTGGATCACTATCTTCTGCTGCACATAGAATGTTTTGAGAGCAGATTGTAAGGAGCTTATGGGAAAGTATGTCAATAAAGGAGCTTTTGGAGCATAAAGGAGCTAACGTCAACTGAATATCCAGTTTGTAGTTGCACCATGCCCACATCAGACAGGCCACTCCAATTTAGATTTTACGCTATCCACCACACTAAGACTACCTCCACGTACTCAGCAATTACCTACTCTCTCTCTGTGTTTCCCTCTGCCAACTTGTCCTTCTCGATCTTTTGACACCATGGACAAGTCCACACTTCTCGATTGCCTTTCCTCCCTCATCCAACTCTATGAGACTGCAGTCTTACGGTTTCTATCCGGCTTCACCCATTTATTTCTCATCCAACCCTTGCTCAATCACTTGCAGAGCACCTCAGGACTCTATTCTTGGCCTATTCTTTTCCTCATTTGCATGCTCCTCCATGGTGATATAATCCACAAACATAAGGATAACTTCTTCATGCATACAGATGACATCAAAATCTATTTTCCACTTATCAGCTAGATTCCAGATCAACTGATATTTTCTCTACCTGCCTATATTATATCAGAGCTGATTTAAAACATCATTTTCCTGTAGCTATATCGTAGAATCGTAGACTTATACAGCATAGAAGGAGGCCATTCGGCCCCTCATGTCTGTGCCAGCTCTTTGGAAAGAGCTATCCAATTCAGTCCCACTCCCACCCTCTCTCCCCATAGCCCTGCAAACTTGTCCTCCCCAAATAATTATCTACTTCTCTCTTAAAATCTGTTATAGAATCGGCTTCCACCACCCTTTCAAGCAATGTTTTCCAGATCCAAACAACTCACTATGTAAAAAAATTTCTTCCCATCTCCCCTCTGTTTCTTTTAACAACTATTTTAATTTGGTGTCCTCGGGTTACCAACCCACCCGCCAGTGGAAATCGTTTCTTCTTGTTCACCCCAACGAATCCCCTCATAATTGAATCTGTGAAACTCAGTCACTCTGACTCGTTTCTTCCCTCAGCTCAAGACCTGTTAACTGTGTCGTTATTCATCTTTCCCCAGCCCCCTTGCTCCCACCCACAGCTTGGGTACCAACCAAGTACTTTGAATGCTTTAGGACATCTTCCCGACATGAAAGGTGCTCTATTAATGGTAAATTTATATTGTACTGTTTTAAATTTTCTAATGTGCTCTTCGCCAGCTTCCCTGGTTTCACCATCACAGGACGCATCTTATTCCAAACTCCACCACCACATATCGACTCACACCAAACCCCACAATGCCCAATTATCTGTCCCAATCATCTGTGGCACTCTATTGATAGCCCTTTCCACTGGATTAACTTGTACATGCGACCCTGCAAACTCTGCACCATTATCCGTGTCATTACACACCTAACCTCTGTAACTGTCCCTCCCTTTCCCTTCCTCAGCCCCATCCACTCCTCACTACATGTTTAAATCCCACCTCAATCCGTGCTTATGGTCACCTGTTCCCTTCCTCGGCGGCTGATTGCTGTATGAAGCACTCTAAAACAATATCGAAGAAGGGCGCTATATATATTTCAAACCATCTCTCATGCTTTCCTCCTCCATACCGTTGATCTTGGAACAATTGATGCTATTTGTGAGATTGTCCCATGACTTGTCTCCAAGCATATAATACTGCAACATGGGAGTATTTGAAAAATATTGATTACAATAATAATAGGTAAAGATGTCTTACTATAATAACGATTTAGAAATATGACATAATTCAATATGTTTTCACTCTATCTGTTTTATTTTGCCAATGAATGTGGATAAGGGCCCAAATAAATAATGCTACTATTCTTAACTGATAATGAAATGTGTATATCCCACTTCGAAAAACAATATTCCAGAAAATGTAATTAGAAACTAGATCTGCAATTTGATTGTGAAGAAATAGAGAACAAATTAACAGACAATGCAAACTCGAATTGGACCAACTATACTTCCAGGATTTAGCGATAGTGGACCAAGACGCATTTAAAAATTTACAGAAAGAAATCGGTCTTGTAGTTCATATCGATTGTTGCATCAATACAGAAATTACATATAATAGCTATCTACAGCCACTCACGATACAGTGATCCACAACCATTGTTCGTACTGTCAAATAATAGTTTTAAATTCATAAGCAGGATACTCTGTTCATTTTGAGAGCACAACACTTCTGATCTAACAATATAAAAATCGCTTTAAAATACTGAAAAATTAATGCAATCAAAAGTTTAGTAACTTCCTATTAGGTAAATTTTTGTAGATACTTGATCAGTTTGAATGCCCACACGTTAACCTTTTCACAGTGGTAGATGAAGGGCACTATGTATTCTTAATCAGACCGTATGATAACGCATATCAAGTGTCACTTCATTAATACCAAAGAGATAAAATGAGTAAATGAGATATCAATACAATTTATATTTCATAAGTATTCTTAATTAAAATGTTATAAAAACTGTTTACACCACTATTCCAAACTTTTGTAATTTGGGTAAAGTTTTATATTGATAGATTTATTTCTAAGTAATTCACTGAAAACTTTTGATACTTTTGCTGATCGGATGAGGGACATGAAGGAGGCCCGTGTTTGCTGAGCAGAGGCAGTAGCCGGGGCAGTAGGGTCACACGAGGTTGCATGTGTAGAGGAGGGGAAACCTACTGCTAAGCATTAAGATGATTTTTTTTAGTAAGTAACTATGGTTATAGATTTAACCATCAATGATTTCTTGCAAAATAATTGCTTAAGTTAAGTAAAATCATTAATAGCCAGAGTTGTGCTTGAGAGATACTAATTGGTTAGTAACAAAGAACATAGATTCTTCTATATGACAGAGATCTGTGAACAATATATGCAACGAATTATAGTAACATTATATGGTTCCCGATTCCCTGGTGGTGACCTTGGCTACTGCTCTGCTGTTTTCATCTGTACCTCGGCATATTCTGTATTCTTGTTGAATTTAGGCATTCCTGTTTTTTTTGAGCTACCCAAATCCAGAGCAGCATAAGTCAGCTTGTTTACCCCTTGTTTGACCTGTAAGGACGAAATTTCGGAATACTGTTAGTTCTTTGTTTAAGTCACTTTACGCAACTCTGCCACATTTCTGCCAAATATTTATACCATTTATAAGATTTGCATTGGTAGTCTTTGTTCTAGTTATATGGCAGCCATAATTTTTATGAAACGTGTGATAAAGATATCATCCAGATTAAGAAACATTATTAGATTGGTACAAGATATTACTTTGAACACAGGAGCATTAGAATTGGTATAAGAAAAAAGACTAAGGTACATCTAGGTCATCTTCTACCATCCTGGTAGTCGCATGCTGCAATAATGAAGATGTTGATGGCAATTAATTTTGTTAATTAAAATGGTTCTGGTTTGTCAAATATGAATGTACCAGACAGATTTTTAGTGGAATGAAAAATCCTAAGGTAATAAATAATTGCTAATAACTGCAGGTGATGACGAGACGCCAACATATAACTGGCGTACCCATAAGTGACACCCAATATATATGGCAGGGAAGACTCTCAATATTAACCAATTTTCAGCTTCGATATGTAGTATTGTAACATTTCTTGTCTCTTAGCTCCATGGGTTGATGACCCTTACCTTGGCATATTCTGTACTCTTGGAGGTAGGTTTAGTCTTTCCTATTTTCTTGGAGCCAGATAAATCCCGAGCTGCATATGTTGGCTTGTTACCAATTGCTCCCTTTGTCTGGGAAGCAAATATTTGGAAATGTAATTAATTTAATTATGTTGTCAGACTTCAGAAATCTCCCAAATAAATGCACTCAGAATTTCCAGCACCGCTTTCCCTTTCCATTGCTTGGTTAATAAAAAAACTAGGAGTTAAATATTCCAACTCCTTTTCATGTAGATACGATTAATAGTAGCTACTATAAAATTCCACGAGGATGTTAGGGAAGAGGGAACTCAGTTATTAGGCAGTTTCTAAGTACCCAAAGGACATATATTATTCATCTGTAATGTTCCTATAGTCAAATAATTTGCCTTACTCGCATTCCAAGATTCAACCAGAATTAGATGATTTGAGGAGCGTGAAGCACAGAAATAATATTATGTTAAACAACTGGAGTTTCATTCTAGTTTCTAATCCCATGATTTAGGATCTGAAGGAATTATATCTCAATTTAGTATTTCTCACCTGGGTGTACGCTGTCCTCTCCTGATATTTAGGTCTTGGAGATTTCTGGGAACTTGTCAAATCCAATGTGACATAAGCCATCTCATCGTGTGCTCCCTGCACAGTCTGTAAAATGCAACTCGTAGTTCCATGATTGGTTCATTGTCTTTAGTTCTGTACACACTAATAATAATCTTTGCATTTGATATAGTGCTTTTCATAACCTCTAGACGTCTCAAATCGCTTCACAGCATATACTGTGAAGTGAATTCGCTATATTTGTGGGCAAAACGCAGCAGCCAATTGTGAAGAGCAGTCATGGATTGAGTGACCAAATTATTATTTTTTTTTAAGGATTGTTATCCCGAAAAAGCAATCCGCCAATCGACTAACAACTGAGTTCCTACTTACTGTTAGCTAAACAGGCATGTGGAGTAAGGAAATTTGCTCAACATTTCGCCCTGCCGAGAAGTGAACCCAGGTCTCTCCCTTGCGAGTCGAGTGCTCTGACCACAGGGTTACAGGACTTCACACTACTGCGTAAACACTGAGTGTAACACTGCGATGAACAAGTGAACTTCAGCTGCCTAGTTTAAAATATTTTAAAAATCACTTGAGAATATTTTACAATACTTATAGTTGATAATATATACTGCTAGCAAATGCACTATATTATACGTGGTGCTCAATAATTGTGCGCAAATTATAAAGTGAGGACGTATAAATGCTCGAAGGAGAATGAGTTAAAATGTTATAAAATCTATAAGGAATAATCTCTATTTATTCCATCAATCTCTGCAAGGTGACAAACCTGCTGAGACAAGTTATATAAAGTTACCTGTTCTCCAGAACGGTGCGATCCATTAATTTCTTTATGGGAGCCTAAAATTAATGAAACTAAATTAATGAAATATGTATTAAATTTCTATGACAGAAATTTAAAATAATGTGTGGACTAGAATGAATACAAATTCTGAAATTGATTAATATTTAATAATCATTAGTGGACTGCACAGACATTTAGTCTTCAAACCTCTCTTCCCATTGCATAATCCGGGGATGTCTCATTTACTCATTGAAACATTGAATTAAAATGGAAATAATACACTTAATTTCAATAAAAACAGATATTTCTTACCTCTCCATTTCATCCATTTGCATCGCTTCCCAATAATAATTAAAACTACTAGAAAAATCAGTGCAGCCACTGCATATCCAACGATCCAATAGTCAAACCCTGGTAAAATGGCAAGATACAAAAAAGAAGCGATACATTACGGTGCATGACGTTCATTTATTTTCTCAACACGATGTTTGTGGCCTGTTAACTAATGTATAATTTAATTAACTCCAGGTTTCACCAGAATAGAGATTCTGTTATTAAATTGATGATTTCAAGTTTTCATATTTTAATGAGTCTTCTTGCATTACTTTTCGAGGAAGATAATGCGCATACGCCTACATTTCTAATACCTTTTACTAAAAGTTGATTTTTAAAAAATATTTAGCAATTAGCTTTGCGATAAATTAACTAATCATGGAAAAAGACACTTATAATTAACAGTAGGATTTCTGGCATGCTACCTTTTTCAGAATGTTCAGGAAGTTGAACCTTGTATTCGGCAATTTCTGAAGCCTTGAGGCTGATGTGTGACACCTTACAGGTATAAACAGCCCCCCTCAGGATGGGCTGTGCCACTTCCATAGAACTGGAAGTTACATACAATCCCCTGGATTCTGCTGTTCAGTGGTATTTATTCCTGTTGTAATTTCGGTGACACTGTTATACCAAGTCAGGATGAGATTCTTCGGGTAATACTCAGCCGTTTGACACACAAGAGTCAGAGACACCGATGCATTACGTTTAGTAAACCTTGGGATTATCTTCAGTGGTGTTGGTGGAACTGTGGGTTAGATAATGGAGCAGAATTACACCATTTCTATTCAGTTGAGGAAAATTTAATTCCGATTTATATCTGATTAATTTCTCTGTGACAACTTGATCTGATTTCTACATTTTGTATTTAATGAATTACTCGTAATAACATTTTCTTTACTCTCCAGCAATCGCAGTTGCCAAAAGTAATGAGTCGACATTACTATTTATAAATGTAGTTCACATTTAAGTAAATAACTTCATCGCAAAAACCTGGTGCAGGCGGCATTAAAACACAGTCGACTGCTATTTACTATTGACAATCTTCACCAAAGTAAGGATTCTGTTTCGGTCATCAATGTGGAAACCCATCACAAACTGCTTAAAAGTATTCATATTTAACTGTGAATTCCTTGGTTCCCACCTATCCATGGACATTCCAGAGATGTTAAGAACTCTAAATTGTGTGACTTGGCTAGTTGTGTTCGAATTGCTTTCAGTGTACACCTAACGGATATTAATGTACTTTGATTTGGATTGATTACTTGCATGTTTATCATGTTTATAGTGCCAAAATAGTTACCCTCTTTGGAGCGGGGGTGGCAGTAAGGGGTGAGTGGGAATCTTGCCACTCATCTGCTGTTTAACCCTCAAGACAAACCGGTACCGGTCGGGCTTTTCCTACCTGCACAGCATTGCAGGAAGCCAAACTGTGCTTTCAAATTTCAAGGGGTTGGCAAGTATGTGGCTTTAAAATCTGATTAAACTCCAGGGGACACAACAAACCTCTGCTCTCCAGAATTAGGTAACCAGGAAACATCATTCCTTTTCAGATACTGCACAATTTCCCAATGTAGATGTCATACACACCTGCAGTTCTCAGTCTAGTTTTGATTCTCTTAAGATTATAGTGCGTTAGATATATTTGCGTAATATGTAAAGATAACAATGATCCAGTTCTGCGAAGGGTTAACACTTACCGCATACAGTTAAATTCGATCCAGTTCCATTTTTTGCTATTTTTCCCTCCAACGCCAGAGCGCAGTGATAAACTCCAGAGTCCTGAAGATTCACATCCAGGAGCTGAAAGAAGCCGCTTCCTCCTTTTTCAATATCAAATATTTTCCTGGCATCTGGCCGTGTTTGCAGGTACTCCCTCTCCCCATGCTTCCACCAGTATACTTTTGTACGTGAGTTTTCTTCAAAGTAGGAAATGGCACAATAGAAGGTGATGCTTTCACCTTTGATTACAGTTGTGTGTTTGGGGAGTTGAGTTACTTGGACCGAAATGCCGTCAACAACTATCAAAACAAATTCAAACACTGATTGAGTAAAATATGTAGCCGATGAAAATGAATACAGAGAAAATTTAAAGCACGAGGTAAAGATGCAAGTAAAGCAACAAAACTTTGTTTGCAACAATTTGGATTTATATAACGCCTCTCACGCAGGGTAGTGCCCCAGAGCACTTGGTTCAGTATAAAAATGAAAACGACTGCGAGTATCTATTTAATTCAACCAAATACCTACCTGTGGAAAGCATCCCCACGAGAGAGAAACAGTAAAACACAACACTCGCCATGGATCACTGTCTGCGATTATCCTGAACCCACTGCTGGTCTGTACTGAGGGGTGCAAGATGCTAAAAATGAATGTGAGGCAGTGACGTTTAACGTCCTGTCTCTGTAGGTTGAGCAATACCCTTTTAATTGATTGCCATTTGCAGAAAGGTTATTGTCTACTTGAGGAGCGTCTAAAACTTACTTACTGTCGATACAGATGAAAGGTGAATTGTATCTGAAATTTACAATACATCCGTTATTACTGTTTGAACTATTATCTCGTGATAATCTACAGGATAGTTCCTCATTGCAACGTCTGAAAGTTATGTTCATGATTGTGACCACCGAGTTTGGTTTGACACCCATATCGCAGGAGATCTGTTCCAACAGTTTCCTCCAACTGTAGCTGCCGAATGGAACCATTTGAAGGGACCTTTTAGAAAGAGCGTATGAATTAGGTATTTTATTGTGCTATTGAAGCATTCTTAGTTTCGTACATCAAACTAATCCTATTTTTGTTTAATTATTTGAAAACGTTCAGAATAACATATTATAACAAATTAATACTTTACAATTATTGGACGCCTGAAGAATCAAAATATTCGACAACGATTAAAATGTTAAAGGAGAATTAGGAATTTATGGACCAAATCCGATTTTTACTTTATTTTTTCAGCTGCTTGTTTATTGTATATTGCTAAAACGTAATAGTTTTAATCCCGATTTAAATTTCTCTCATTTGTCTCACAGCTGAAGAAATGTCATTCATTTGAAATTTGGAATTATCTTCCTAGATTTTTCTAGAATTGAGATTGTAAATCATGTTCAAACCGAAACGAGTTGCTGCTTTAAAAGAAGCCTTTTTTGTGTAAACTTAATATGTAGTAAAGATTCTCATTTTGATCAATAATAATACAATTTGGAGCGCAAATGATAAGTGAAATAGGAATGTAGGTCCTGTGAGCATATTTCACATGCAACAAAATGTTTGTCTCGAAGTAGAACTCAGTGTAACGATTTCTGGGATATTCACAAATGCATTGAGTTTTTCTACACAATGCAAAGAAGAATTGTTCATCAGTGATTGGGTTACCTTGATGGAAATTTCCTAACTGCAGGGAAACAGAAGATTATAAATCGGAAGGAGAGTATATAGTGTTATCATTGCTCAGTTGAGAATATCAATATAATGCAATCATCACCTTTAGCTGTGGGTGAAAGGGAAACGTTTTTGAGCTCCCTCTGATTTATTGGATGACCATCGTGTACTGCGGTTTAAAAGTAGATTTTTTCCAACCAGAAAGAATATGTTTCAGATGAATCTTTTATCTTTTGTCTGCCCTGCTTGGCCAGGTTGACAGTTGTCAGGCCAGGTTGATGGTTTGTGAATGAAAATGATCAAAATACCAGCAGAACTCTCGGGGATATAAGCAATACAATTACAAAACAATTTACATTTGTATGGCGCCTTTCACATTGGGATGACTTCTCAACGCGCTGTGGATATCTATCTGGGTATCTGAGCCGAGGCATGGGGGAGTCGAAGGTTACATTGGGAGCGAGGAGGGGGAAATGAACCAAAAGATTTATCAGAGGCACCTTTTGAGGGGTGCTTTGAAAGTGGGCAGCAAAGAAAAAAACCTGGGAGACTCTGGAATGGGAGTTCCAGAAAGTGGAAGCAGACTGACTAATGGCTCACTCTATTATGGTAAGGTAGGACAAATTAAGTGGAAGATATGAATTAGAGGTAAAAGGAGCATTGCAGTCAATCGTGTTAGGAAGTTGCTGATATGGTGGGGCTCTGCTGCGGGATGGGAAGCCATGGTGAATTTGAGTGATGGGTTGACTTTTGGTGCCAACGGGCAGGTTACAAAGTTGTGGGCAGCCTCAAGCTTGCGTCTGGAAAAGCTGGGAAGTGCACCAAGCGGGCACTGGATTAATCAAGTTTATATGTGATGAAACCACGAATGATGGCCTGGGCAGCCCCGGGAAAATACACTGGTGACGGCGAGGGAAAGTTGACTAAATGGGAGCCCAGAGTGAACGAGAAACCAGATATAGGGCTTGAAACGTACTTGAGGGTCAAACAAGACCCCAAGGTTCTGCATTGACTACTCGGTGGCGTGAGTTCTGCAAAGTAGATTGATGCAGTCAGCACCTGAGGTGAGAAGAAGGTTACAGCGTTAGCAACCAAAGGGGTGAGAAGAAGACCTGGAGAGGTGTGGGGATTCGGTCAGTGGATCAATTTGTTAGGGAATATGGGAGGAAAGAGATGCACGGGACATGGTGAAAACTATTGAAGCAGGAATGGGGTAATGCTGGAGGGGGAAGGACTGTGCTACAAGAGGAGATGCGGAGCTCAGGGTAATTTCTCGACTCCAGGAACCCCACCTTTTTATGCTTGAACATTGTCCTTCGGACCATGCTGAGAAGTGCAATTCTGGGTATTTTTATCGATCTTGAGAGATAGGAAGGTCCGAATACAGGTTAATCTTATGGTATCTAAGTCATATCTCCAACCAGCTTTCCTAATTGACGTCCTTAAAGTGCATCTGAAGGTTTCGTCTTGCCCATTTATGAGTGCTAGAGCTGAGTAATTCAGATATGTGGCATTGGGCATAAACAACGACAACAACAACTTGGATTTATATAGCACCCTCCACGCCGGACGGTGTCTCAGAGCACTTCACAGTAACGGATCCCGGTGCCAAGGCAGGGGGAGGAAGGAAGGAAGGTAAACCTCTGGAGCATCAAGGTGGCTGGCAAGTTACGAGACTTTCTGCAATGGTCATTCCACCATGCCAAAGGCAGGTGTCTGTAATATATCTGATGAGGAAATTCTGAGGATTGGGTCGTTAGCTGATGGAAGACATTACATGGACTCCAGAATCAAAAACACAGGTTCCTATGTCTTGGGCTTGGAATACACCAACTGGAAACAGCTGCTGCTAAAGCACAACACCTCCAATATGTGGACCATCGCTCAATGTGAAAGGATGTGTATCTGAGATGTGAACAGAAAGATGAGGACAATGCTCTTACACAACCCATGCTGAGTTTTGCTCCTCACCATGAAACTTTCAGGAAGTTCCTGATACTTGTCATCCACCTTTTGAGTTTTCAAACCTCCATCTGTCAAATGTCCAAATAATGACTATTATCCTTGTGGGAGGCAAGAGGGGATCTCATTGAAGCTGAATTGGCTCCAAGGTGGCATGTTTGGCAGCGGAATGTTGGCAATGAGTTGATTATCTGTGGTGCTCTCAGAAGTCCCTTTCCTCAGGCAGACGGGTCTGAGGTATTATAGGAAACTACTGATGTCAAAGCAGTCAGATTGTCTCACCAGGAGAATTTGGAAGGGCAGACCAGTCACTTTGAGCAGTGATTCTCCTCAATCATCTCCTATTAACCCTGCAAACTAAAATCATCCGGGGAGAGAGTGAACATGCCATTACAGGCATTGGAATTTCCAGGTGTAGGTGACATGGAAGGAATTCTCAGCCCGTTTTGGATACTCTTAAGCACTGAGAGGTTTTCTGCATGTGCTACTCCGATGACTAAAGAAAACAGAAGCCTTTCACTCCTGGCAGTTGGAAGTTGAGATGATGGTGAAGGAGGCAAGAGAAAGTGGGCGAAAGAGGTAATTGGTGGCAGATAAAATTAACCTAAGGTTGTCCCTCCCTTCCCTCCCCTCACCCTGACCATTTCCCCCCTCCTCGCTCTCTCCCTTCCCTCCCCTCACCCTGACCATTTCCCCCCTGCTCGGGTCATGACCCAACTGTGCAGCGCCTTGGGACGTCCTCCTGACGTGAAAGGCGCTTTATAAATGGAATCTTGTTGTTGTTGTTGTTGTCTTTGGCCTCATAGTTGAGCTTGAAGTAGAAAGATGATTGGGCTGAGGTGAGGGCAAAGTGACTTTGTATGTATCTGGCTAAAGATAGCCATAGACCATGAGGCCTGATTTGTGTCACATGCTTCCAACAACAAGAACCTGGAATTTGAGGAAAGAATGGTAGCTGTTGTATCAAGAAACTGCATATTTCTCAGTATGTGCTCACGCTGTCATGTTGATCTGTGATGTTATCAACTTGCCTATTTCATAGGAAAGTTGTTTATGAACACTTTTCTTCATGGGGGAAAACTGTAGAAATTAACTGCTTGTATTGAACTGATATGATTGATTTAATACACTGTTAGATCTCCATAAAAATTAATCCATTTGTTGCCTTTGCCAGAACTACCAGAGCTTCATTAAGAGTGCTACAGTCTTGTTATAATTAATTAAAATCACTATTTCACTGGACAACCCTCTGTGCAATCACACCCAACCAAAACATATAACTCCTGAATGTACAAAGACTGGAAGTCACTGTGACTTGTCGCAATTCAAACATCTGCAACCTTTTATCACACACAAGCAACAGTTCAGGATTTGTCAGACAATGATCAGAATATTGGTGTATGTTATATCACAGTATCTGTCTTTTATGGGAAGATTTCCTTGGGTGAGTGATTATGTTACGCAAGTTTGCTATAAAATAACATAGATTAATGTTATTAATATTTTATGATCTTTTATTTATTACATTGAGTGAACCGAGCCTCTGTTTCTATGTCTCTGTCTTTTGTTTTAATTATATTGAATGTATTTCTGAAAGTTGTTGACGGTATATTTATCAGAATGACTAAACTCCCCTAACACATAGAGGTCATCAAAGGTACAATCATGACCTCCCACTGCATGGTTCCTATCACTCAACCCAAATCGAGTTTAAGAACGTGCTGGTGAAAGTAGGTAGAGGGTGGATACCTGCAAACAATGACATGCAGACCGAGCAACCTATTTTATCTTATTACATCAGTGTTATATATTACAACTATTATGCGACTTTGTCATTGATCTTCAATTGCATGGGCTGTGTGTCTGTACCAGATGTGGATAATAAATTGCATTGCATTAAAATTGCATCATTCACCAGTGCCGGCGCTGACAACAACAGTGCGTTTCATCGCGTCTGGTGTTTTATTTGCTCCTGGTCACTTACTGACATTCAACAAATTATCCAGCACTGAAGGTTCAGCCATTATAAATTAAAGATTCGCATAAAGCGGCTTTTAAAGACATTTGTTATTAACACTTAACCAACCTTAACATTGACATCTTTAATAACCTTTAACATATTTAACGTCATTGGTGCAATATCTGCAATAAATCCTTTCTTCAGAATCACATGTGTGGATAGAATGATGTTTCCAGCAATTTCTCAACATATATTTCACTTCTGACTGTTATTGCAGGTCATAACTGATTTTCTCCCGAATTTCAATCTCATGTTTTATCATGATATCCTATTTTGGGCCAGCCGGGTATTGATGCATGCAAAAACCTTTCACCATGTTTAAACTGATTAAAATCAGACTATGAAGTCGCATATGCTTACCATCTACTAATGGAAAATATTACCATCTGAAATTGAATAAGGATTATCTCTTTGGAGGGAATGATTGTACCTGTTTACTCAATTCTGGTAATTATTAGGTGCCAGTTGGCCAGAGCTAAGGTTTGGGGACGCCGAAAGTATGTTGCGGTTCCTATTGGAGTTTAAACATCCAAATCCGCAATGCACCTGGGAAGCATATCACTGTTTTTATAGCTACTTTCAAGGGCTTAATCTTGCTCGGCTAACATGACCCAATGGGAAGAATCACCAATCTTAGTCTGAACCCTAAGCCTTACCGACAGCCAGGCTGTCGGCCTATCGTTCGCAGTGCATTAAAGTACTGTAGACGTGCTTGAGGGAGGTACAGGTTTCCAGAGCCTTCAGATCCCAGAAAGAGACATGTTGGAATAAGAGACAACCTGATAAGCTTTGATTCCAACACAGTGAGGATGAAACATAGGGGTTTATCTTAATTGACTTTAAAGTCACTGGTTAATACGTATTGAATTACATTCATTTTAAGTGCACAAATGGAGCAAAATAGATCGGATTATTGTGAAGAATGGGGAGTCTTAAAGCAGTTAAATTAGAGCATTTTAAACCTATTTTCTGCAAGTATTTACTTGGGTTCAGTGTGACATTCAAATCATGTTCATGCGAATATCAGGTTTAATACTGGTGCAATTTGGAATAGTATGTACATACAAATTACTGGCTTCTTACCAATGTTTGCAGCACTTATTATTTTTAAGAACAATAAAGTTGGGGGTGGGTGGATTCATTTTAGAAACTAATTTTACGTATGTGGATTGGGAAAAGTCATCCATATTTCAAGGTGCAGTTGTTACTGAAATTGAGAGTCAGCCTGACTTCATTGATAGCGCCTTCGCATCTGAGTGTGATCATAAATAGTTAACTTAAAACTGGTTGATAATATGTTGGGCAATGCTGCCGTTATAAGGTCAAACTGTAGGCGTTCTTGCAGGCAAGTAGCTGCTAAAATGTAACAAACAGGAAACTACATTCTACCGTGTGGTTTCTGGTGAACTTCACAGTTTCCTTTAACATCATTTTCAACATCAGCGTCTCGTCTGATTGTAAATATAGAACATGGTTTATCAGGTTATCTTCGGCCACGAGAAGTTCATTGCAGCTCATTCTGTGATAAGTAGCGGCAGCTATTTTATACATGGTTTCAGCATTAATGCAAGAATAGGCACGCTGTGTTCTTCCCATGACTCCTGCTAACCTTGTATAACAAAGCTGTGACTGATTGGGTGGTCCTAGCTGGACAAGCAGCGGGAAGCTTGCTAAACAGTCCTCTCGATGACCATCTGTACAGTATTAGTGGGTTAAACTCTGGCAGTATCACAAATGCAAACTCTGAAGTCTACACTTTTCGGTTCTTGCCAACATGCCACAGTGCTTTCTGGAAGTAGGTAAGCAGGATATGTCCCTCCAGGGTGATGTTGTGTCTTTCATTCCAGACTCCAGGATAATTCCAAGCGTAGGAGGAGTGAATATGTGGAACTCAGTCTACTTTGCTTATGTTTATGAATGATCATGTGTCAGCTATTCGGATGACCAAAATGAAATAGAATGGAGCTTTCCTATCACGGGTGAGTTCATTGGGTTGATCTTGTTGTTCCTTATCACCAACCTAGACTGTGTAATTATACTGAATTCGAACTTTATCACTTCTATGAAACTGTCTTACATTTTAATTTATGTGCAAATTCCGCAAATATTATTTTAAAATAGATTCCTAGAGTTTTATTTGTTGATGCAATGAAAGGGGTTATGCACTGATAATGTATTACTCGTTATGTGGGCTCCATAATTACCTTAATAATAATAATAATAATCCTTGCATTTGATATAGCGCTTTTCACATCGGGAGGACGTCCCAAAGCGCTTTACAGAACACACTGTAAAGTGAATTGACTGTATATTTGTGGGCGAACGCGGCAGCCAATTGCGCACAGCAATGTCCCACAAACAGTCATAGATTGAAAATGACCAATTTATTATTGTTTTTTGGTTTTTGGAGGGATTATTATTAGGCTCTGTGTGGAGTAAGGAAACTTGCCCAAGGTTTCGCCCTCTGCCTGGAATTGAACTCAGGTCTCTTGCTTGCAAAGCGAGTGCTCTAACCATTGAGCTACAGGACTCCACGTGTCCACCTTATCTGGACACTTGTGTAAATTGTTCTGAGAAACTGGCTAAAGTGAAGCATATGCTGTCCAATTGTTCAATAAGCCTGAAGGATTTTAAGCAAGATATCTGCATCCAATAGCAAAACCAGTTACTGAGTTACAGCTATACTTCTTAAAAGAATATTTAGAACGGCTGTTTATATGCAGAATGTGAGCAGGGATTTTATTTCCTATTGACAACTCAGTGTTCTCACTCTCATCACATAATGGATATAAATATCTTCCGCAGACTACTCCTAACCCACTACTGAAAAGGTTGGCAATCCAAACATCATTTTTTTTTACAACTTTTTTTATCATTGTTGAGAAAATAATTGTGAAGGAAAGGAAATCGGAGTTGAGTTAGGGCACAGTCATATATGAGGGAATAGCAGTTTTAGTTTGATTGCTTCGGAACTCATGTTTCAAATATATTCATAAATTTTAAATTGCTTCTTGAATTTAATAAAATTGTTTATTTTCATCTGAATTAATCCATCACTAGTTAATCAAGGACAATGGAATAAACCAATAAGATAAACATATAATTTGTTCATGAGATATAATTTCAAATGCTGTTTTAAAATCAATTGAGCTTTTGTACAATATATTTCATCTGGTTTAGACATATAATGTAATCATAATAATTAAGAATTCTTACAATCCATCATAATCCTTATACACATTTGGTACAGTGCTCTTCACACTGGGAGTATGTCCCCAAGTAACGTCACAAGATATAATGTAAAGTACAGTGTCGGTGTTTTGTGAGAGCTTCTAGTATTAAAAGGATTAAGCTTTCGGTTCCTGATAGTTGTTGCTAAAGAGGTGGAATTCTGTGGAATTCCTGTGAAATTCCTGGCAAAAACTTTTCAACTCACTGTACATTTATAGTTGTTTGCACGCTTTTGAAGGTAATACAGTAACCATTTGCTCACCGTTGGGAAATATGATGTTTCAGATAATGTTATGATTTCGAATGAGATAATACTTAACAATAATAATAATTCTTGCATTTGATATAGTGCTTTATCATTTATTGGAGATGTCTTGAAGCACTTCACAGAATACACTGTAAAGTGAATTGACTGTGTGTTTTGTGGGCGGAAAGCTTGCACACAGCAGTGTCCCACAAACAGTCATGGATTGAAGGGACCAATTTATTATTATTATTATTTTGAAGGAATTATTACACCAGGAAAAGCGATCCACCAATCGACTAACAACCGGGTTTCTACTTACTGCCTGGTAAACAGAGGCGTGTGGAGTAAGGAAAATTGCTCAACATTTTGCCCTGCTGGGAATTGAACGCAGAACTCTAACCACTAAAGCGACAGGAATCCACTAATGCGCGTATAACTGAAGTAAAAGAAAGACTCCTACAATTATGTACAAAATAGTGGAAAGTGTCCTTGAGGCATCAGAAAGTACTTGCCCTGCACAAAGAGTAACCCAGTGTGATAAATTGAAGTTAAGTGAGAGTAAAATAATGCTGTGCAACGTTAGCTTGGTAGGTTGGAATTAAAGTTGAGAGGTTATATAGTACTTGAAAAAGGCATGTATTTTGCCCTGCCGGGAATTGAAATTATTTAATAATATTCACTTTTCAACAGGTAAAGCTTCACTTCAGCTCAAGAATTCAAAACGGAGATGACCTGAACGCATATATACACTTCCACAATTGTGTCCATTTCAGGCAATTATTGATGGAACAAGAATCTGTCGAAACTTGACTGCCTTCAAAGCTAATGCTTTTCTTCCCAATACTGAGGGATAGAGACCGTTAAAATTTTAGTATGTTCAACTCTTTATGGAGCAAATGGTCTGTTTCTGTCTGTGATAAATTAGGATTTCAGCTATTTGTAAGTGTAAACTGAATCTGTGTAACAATAAAATTGTATTTCGTGCCAAATATTAACAAGTGTTCTATGTGTTCATTAAAGAAAGCATAATTTAAAAAATATATTTTTTTATGAATAATAATGAATCATAAAATAATAAAGAAAATAAAGATTCAAATAGATTGTACATGTAGTAACGTAATAATAGTGATGTGACGATCACAAGTTATTACAATGTGAAAAATAAGGAATTAGAGAAAATCAGGAATATATCAGCATGCAAATTGAATGTGGACGTTTGTGTCACTGTAAAACAAACATAGTTCCTCTAATTGTGGGTGCAGCTGGGACTGTTAATAAGGCTATTCAAAAAAGGCTTGACAAAATACCCGGTAAACAAAATATCAACCTCTTGCAAAAGTAGCTATTGTTGGAATCTCAAATATATAAAGAAGGGTAACATTTATTCATATGTAAAGTGACCGTGTTATTAGTCTGGCAGACCCATCAATGAAAACCATTAAGAACTACCTCTACAGAATGACTTAAACTTTAATAATATAATAATCCATGCATTTAATAAAGACCTTCACCACATTGTATAGCCTGCTCCACAGGATGTACTTTAAAGTAATGGTGGCCAACATGTGGCCCGCGGGTCAGTTAAGAAGCAGACTCCAGAACATTCGCATGAGTAAATCAGTTTTCGATCGGTAGTGTGTTTTCGGTTTATTCTTAATTGAATATTTCTTGATTTATGGCATGAATCAAGAAATATTCAATCAAGAAATTGTATTTTGTTGACCGACCATAAAGGTTGCTGTCCACTGCTGTAAAGTGGTGTGACTGTGTGTATCTTGTGGGCTAAGACGGCAGCCAATTTGCACATAGCAAAATTCCACAAGCAGCCATGGAGTAAGTGAATCATTTTATTTAGGCGATTATTGGCTTGAACATCTGGAGAAATTCACTTTTATTTCCAAATCATGCCATGGGATATTTAATGTCCACTTGAACAGGCAGAGGGGACCTCGGTTACAATGGTAATCCTTGCATTCGATATAGTGCCTTATCAGTTCTTCTAGACATCTTAAATTACTTCACAAAATATACTGTAAAGTGAATTGAGTTTATATTTTATGAGTGAAATGCGGCAGCCAATTGCGTACAGAAGTGTCTGACAAACAGTAATGATAATAATCCTTGCATTTGATATATCGTCTTATCACACCTCCGAGACATTTTAAATCACTTCATAGAATATAATGTAAAGTGAATTGACTGTATATTTTGTGCGCAAAACATGGCAGCCAATTGCACACAGCAGTGTCTCACAAACATTGAAGTGACCAAGTTATTTTTTTTGAAGGAATTATTACACCCGGAAAAGCGATCCGCAAAATCGACTAACAACCGGGTTCCTACTTACTGCTAGGTAAACAGAGGCGTCTGGAGTAAGGAAACTTGATCAACATTTTGCCTTGCCGGGAATCAAAAACAAGTCTCTCGCTTGCAAGGCGAGTGCTTTAATTACTGAGCTACAGGACTTCACAGTAGTGGATTGAGTGACCAAATTATTATTATTTCTTTTTTTTAACTGATTCTTGTCCCCAGAAAAGCAATTCATCAATTGACTAATAACCAGGTTCCTAGTCGATTTAACGTCTTATCCGAAAGACAGCACCTCTACACTAGAGTGTTAACAATTTAGGACTTGAACCCACAGCATTCTGGATCAGAGGCGAGAGTGCTACCAATTGAGGTATTTTAATAGCAATATTTCTTTAATATTTTTCTAATGACAATGATAATGACTGACAACTTTCCAGAAGAGATATTTATTTGCGGTACCTGGAAGAATTCCCTTCTCTTTTCGAGTTGGAGCATAGGGCATTTAATATCTTCTTGAACAGAAAAATGGGGTTTCGTTTCAATGTCTCTTCCTAAGGAGGACACCCCGATCAATACAGCATACATAGCACTGCATTTGAGGGTCATCCTAGACTATTAGAATTCAAAGTCCTGGCGTGGGTTTGAATCCACAAACATCTGATTCAGAAGTGGGAGGTGTTTCAGTTGAGTGAGTGAGGCTGACACAATTAGTGACATTGTGACAGAGCATTGTATGCTCTGTCGACTTCGGAAGTTACATATCCTATCCACCTTTCCTATGCACTGTGTATTGGGTCCCCAGAACATACCAGTTTGACTATCTCCTGCCCATATTGATCCCCAAATCGTCCATCAACATATAAAGAATGAAAATAAGGGTAGCTTACAATAACAAGAACAATAACAACAACTTGTGGGTATATTGCACTGTTCCCATCTACAACTTACAATGACAGCAGACAAAAATAATATACATATCAATTGTGAAACTAAGGAGGATCCAGTCCTAGAATATCTTGAGTCTGTGAGTCTGTGAGCTCTGTGATAAGACAGAGGTTCCAGTCAGTGCCTCCTTACCTCAGGCGCTGACAGCATCTCTGTTCATGGCTGCACTCTCCACCTAACAGAGTCAGTATGGAACTTCAGTATCCTGTTTAACCCTCAGCTGTTCTTCGAACTCAATATCCGTGCCATGACCCGTTCTTTCTTCCCCACTTCCGCAACATTTGCCTGTCTCCCTACTGCAATTCATGCATTCCTCATGTCGAAGATCGACTACGCAAACTCCCTGTTCTCCAAACTTCTCAACTCTTCCCTCCACAAGCTGTATATTATTTAGAACTCTGCAGCTCCTCTCCTCTCCCGTAACAAGCTCTGTGAACTGATCACCCCCATCCTTCCTCGGCTCCACTGGCTCCCCATTCCTCAAAGGATCCCATTTAAAATGGTATACCTCATTTTTAAATCTCTCCACAGCCTTGCTCTCCCTACCTCTACAGCCTCTTAACACTATACCAACCTCCCTGCTCCCTCTGATTGGCGGGCACTGGCCAGCTTAATGTCACCCGCCCTGCCCGCTCCACCATTGTAGATGGCCCCTCAGCTTTTCTGCTCCCACCCTCTTGAACTGCATTCCTGAATCTCTCCGCATCGCCCCCTATCTTCACCTCATTTAAAGCCCATCTTAAGAACTTCCTCTTTGACTACAGCTTCGGTCACAATCCCATCCCCACCTTTGATGGTCCAGCACCATGGGACATCCCTGCACTGTGAAACATTGTATATAAATATAATTTGTTCTTGTGAAATGTGAAGGAGATTGTAAATCAATTCCTAGAGACTGTGGTCATGTCATTGTGATGCTTTGAAGCGCTTTGAGACGTCGAGAAGACTTGAAAAGGGCTATATCAAATGTAAGGATTAGTATATATTATTACTTAAGATACTTTATCCTCTTGGGCAGCTGTAGATTTCTGATTGGGGTTGTTTCTGCAGACCAATGTCAAAAACACAGCAATATATTTCCTGCATGTTGACTGCAGCTCTTCCTCAGCCTGTTCATTGCTTGCATGGTAGTCTATTTTGAATACCGTGTTGAAAGCACTCATCCCTTGTTGGGGAAAGGATTGTTGGGTGGAGCAGGAGATGAAGTCACAGAAGTAGTTCGGGGAAAGGGAGCTGTTCCAGTCACTAGGGGTTCTCTCAGCCGAGTTGAAGGGTTGAACGTCAGCAAAACATTCCACGAGGAACGTGGAAATCAGCACAATAAACAAATTGGTCATGCAAGCGACCACGGAAATCAAAGTCGTGGCAAAGATCTAACGTGTAGGGTAGGGTGTGACTACTAATGGCTACCAGCATGTAGCCATTAGTGTCCAAACCACTCCAAACAATTTGAAGGAAAGTCTCAACATCCGCCTGAGTGCAATGTATTATAATTTACATTAATATTGTGTCTTTTACATTGGGATAAAAACTAAAAATGCTCCATAGCGCTGACTGAGATCCACAGCTTATGGTATAGAGAATGCATGGAATTTATATCCTACTATATTTTGCAATTGCTTTCAGTCGCTGTCCATCCAGATTTCAATTCAACAAGATTTGCAAGGTAGTTGTCATCCATTACCGGATTATTATTTCTTGCACTAATGTATGTGAAAACTGTCTTGGTTACACTGTCCAGCTAGGTTTTAAGTTCTGGTAACAACCAATTTAGAGGTTAATTTAATCCAAGAGCTGTTCTTTTAACAGATCCTCCCAGTTCCTTCCTATATTAAGTCATTAATAATAATTATTGCATTTGATATAGCACTTTATCACGTCTGCAAAACATCTTAAAACACTTCATGAGATTTTTAATTTGAGAGAAAAGGACAGCAGTAAAAATGTACACCTGTAGAGGCGGGAGGTGGGTTTAAAGTCTCGTCTCGGACAATGACGTGTATTGGAGTGTTAGCCTAGACTGTGAGCTCAAAGTTCTAACCTTGCAATAATTGAATGTTTTCTACTAAAGCAGACTGTTCATGATTTATTGTCATGTGAAATATTACAGCTGATGAAAAGATTAATGAGCTGAAACATAAGAAAGGTTATTGAATGCAATTGAAAATAATTAGTGCAGATATAATTTCATATATGAAATACATTATATAAGACTTAATTTGAATGATATACAGATATTTGAAGATAACATTTTTCATTATCAAATGAGATTGAGAAAACCTCACACAGAAATACAAAATTATTTATTTTAATTCGATTCAGATTAATTTATGAAAATGACAACTGTTTGCGTTTTCTATTGCAAAGTATTATTTCTAATCATAACTACAAAATGAATATATCTGTCTACAGCAGGAACAATATTTCATAGTAAATAAAAGCCCTGATATCAGGTAGCTTAGTAATAACCTTCGCTTAGTAATTTACATGTACAAGTGATGTCAAAGGAACCTACCACACATTCGGACATTAATGAGACAAGACTCAGCTGCATTTGGTTATACCTTCATCCTCCTTCAGGCTTCTGTTTTTATAATTAGTAAAGTTGTATTGGTGCAAAACAGTTCTCTTCCAGTTCAGTTACTTACAACTTCTATAAAACGCAATGTATTTGTGAATATTGCAAATTCTATAATCACATGACTATTTTCTCTGATTGCTACTTTTGAAAACAAA